AACGAATATAATCTATCCTTACCACGCTTAAGACCTCATTACGATGACCACCTGCACCAGCAAATACCAAAATGCAAATACCTGTATGAACATTCCATAATCGAACAGATTCATCCTGGACACTTCAAACCATTAATCGAGGCAATTTTAAGAGAATGTAAGGATATATCTTAATTCTTATCCAAAACGAATCAAAGGGTATAGTTCGGCACCGTACTTTGCTAGCAGAGATCACGAGTGATGGTTTCAGTGGCTGAGTCCTGATTTCGTTTATTGAATCACCATGACCAACAAAACTCTGCAGAGAAGAGCAGATCCAAGTAGTAGGAAATAAGTCAAATCTAAGCTCCATGGCTAGTTCATCTAGCTGACTAAAGTATGCAAATATTATGTTCAACAGCTTCAACTTTTTTCATGGCCATCTACCATTTCCATGTTTATGAACCTCCCACCCTCTCTTTCCCTTAGCTATGAATTGGATGGTGCTTGCGATTTCAAGGTCTATTTATTTCCCTTCTGTATATAGACTGGCAGTATGCTGCACAGTGAGTGGATTGTTTGTCTATATCAACTATTTCCTTTCTGTATATACCGGTTTCATGCTGTACGGTGTGGGTTGTTCGTCCACCTCTTCAATATCTTCAATTATCTTCCTCTTTTTTTATAAGAGATTTATTCATGACATTAAAATACATATAAAAATGGAGGGAAAAATAAGACATGTCCTACAACTGAATTAACAAGCAACATGTGAGATTACACATCGGTTGGGGAGGAGAACAAAACATTCTTTATAAGGGTGTAGAAACCTCTCTCTAGCAGACGCGTTTTAAAAACCTTGAGGGAAAGCCCGAGCAGGACAATATCTGCTAACGGTGGGCTTGGGCCGTTACACAACAAGTCTATAAAAACACCATCCAATTATATGCATACACATTCTTGAAGTGTAAGTAAAACTATTTTTCAAACTTTTCATTGGAAAATGAAATTATTAAAATCTGACAATTATGATCCAAAGAGATACCTTATATATCTTTTCACTGCCAGCATCAATAACACGGATTATACCATTGATTCCACCAGCAACAACAAATGGGGAGCCATCGACGTTGAACGCCCAGCTTACAGTGTAAAAAGACTCATCCTTCTGATCTACAAAGTACATGGGGAACTCAATGTAACTTGAGAATATAAATAGATCTGGGGTTGAACTACAACACAGTCACTCACATCTTCGTCGACATAAGACTGCAACACAGCTATAACACCCCCTTCAAGACATTGATAAACTGTAACCTGCAAACATATTAAGCAACATTAAAACAGCACCACAGTTCGAAATTCAGCAACCACATCATTGCACAGAGACATGAACCAAGACTCTTCACAATGGTATGATATTGTTCACTTTGAGCATAAGCTCTCATGGTTTTGCTTTTCGTTTCCCCAAAAGGCTTCATACTAATGGAGATGTATTCCTTACTTACAAACTCATGATCGTCCCATTAATTAGTCATTGTGGGACTCCCTCCCAACAATCCTCCCCTCGAAAAAAGTACAACATAGAGTCTCCCTTGAGGCCTATGTATCCCTCGAACAACCTCTCCTAAAACGAGGCTCGACTCCTTTCTCTAGAGCCCTCGAACAAATTACACCCTTTGTTCGACACTTAAGTCACTTTTGACTACACTCTCGAGGCTAGCAACTTCTTTATTCGACACTTGAAAATTCTATTGACATGGCTAAGTTAAGAGAATGACTTTAATACCATGTTAGGAACCACGACTGTCCATAATGGTATGATATTGTCTACTTCGAGCATAATCTCTCATGACTTTGCTTTTGGTTTCCCCAAAAGACCTCGTACCAATGGAGATGTATTCCTTACTTATAAACTCATGATCATCCCCCTTCATTAGCCAATGTACAACTCCCTCCCAACACTCCCAACAATCCTCAAGAGACAATAGACAATTTCATAGCACCTGAGTTTTAGGTAAAGTAACAAGCACCATTTCTCCTTCAGTAAATCTCAATTAACAAATATCAGAATGCTATTCCTTTATTTACAAGAGTACAATTAGAAATGGAGGCATTTTAACCTAAACCAATCCGGTTTTACAGCTCAAGCATCACAATTGGGAACCCAAGACATCAAAAACATAAACAAGCCCAAATCCGAAGCCGTACGGCGCAGCGTCCAAACATATACAGTAAAATCGACGAACTCAAACACCAAGAACGCAATAGTAATCGATATTCATCAAATACTTCGAAAATAAAACATGGGTCACTCCCAAATTTTCCATTCAATGCTGTACAATCCTTTCCCTGCATATTCCAAAGAAATAAACAAACATGTGAAGCGCTCACCCGATTGCCGCCAACAGTGGCAAAAACGTTGAAGTAGCGAGAGTCGATGAAGTTGAAAACTACAGCATAAAGAGGCCTTTTCCCCTCTTGAAGCCGGTTGGTGACCCTGTATTCCCTCTTCCTCGATGGAGTTAACGAACCCACCACTGGTTCGGAGCCTAAAGAGTACTTCGCCATAAGCGCAAAATGGCAGAGACAGAGACAGGGAGAGAGTTTGTCTAGACGGGCAAAAGTGAGGTTTTCGGGCTGGTGATCCGCCCAATTAATTAAATTTTTTTTAGTAACAATTTATATAAAATATAAATTTAAAAAAAAATAATGAATTTCTTAAGAATTTGTTTATAAATTCAAAGTAATGAAAATTTGATAAGATTTATTATAAATTTGATATTGTAAATATTAAATTATTACCAATTAAAATTTATGAGTTAAATTATTAATTGTATGAAAGTTGAAGGCCGAAAGTATATTTTCTACTTGAATTGCAAATCGTAAAAGGAAGCAAATGAGTGTTCGGTAGATATGTTTATTTAATTCGCAGAACAGGAGCTCCATACGGACTCTCCCCGAACATGACCAATTTTTTTTGTTTAAACGGGGCAATGAGAGAGAAAGTGGCTTAATGATACCTTTTGAGATAAAATGATCTTAATTCTCTATATAGTTGTAAATAATACAAACAATGCCATATAATTTTTACACATTAATTGTCACGTCGATTTTCATATTTTATTTTAATGAAAAGCGATCTTTAGAACAATGACAAAGTTCAAAGGTATTTTAACCCGCAACCCAATATAATACCTTTTTTAACTACAAGCATTTTTTTGGGCAAACTTCGTTGGACGACACGACATTCTCGTTCCCAAGAATCCAATATGACCACTTAGGTCTATGTTGTCATGATATTGTTCTATGGAAGCAGGCGGGTAAAAGTTCGGCCCAATTTTTTTGGTGTCGTTGTGGAGGGATTGACATTTCTAATGCATATTCAGTCATACTGGCATGGCCCCACTGATTTTTTGATTTGAGCATCCAAGAGTACAACCCGATTCTACTTGACTAATCCCCATGCTCATCTAAAGAGGGAGTTTGCTTTACTCAACTCTCTTTTCGATAACAAGGCAGAACCTCCTAGTTTCGAATGAAGAATGAAGCCTGCCTCTGCAACCATGATTGATAAGAGTAATTAAGAGGATACCTATCATTAGAAAATTAGGACAAGAAGATGAGTCAAAATTGACCAATTCTGCACTTTCTGCTGTGTGTGTGTGGGAGAGGGAGAGGGAGAGGGAGAGGGAGAGAGAGAGAGGCATATTTTAATGCAAAAACAATGTAAGATGACGAAGGAGATCCAACTCACTTGGTCCAATCCATCAACAAATGTCATAGAGAAAAACAATGAAAATGGAACACAATACTATTTTTTTTTTGTAACGGTCCACGCACACCGCTAGCAGATATTATTCTTTTTACACTTTCCCTTTCGGGATTTCTCTTAAGGTTTTTAGAACGCGTCCAAAGCATCTTTTATAAAGGTGTGGAAACCTTTTCCTAGGAGACGTGTTTTAGAAACCTTGAGGGGAAGCCCGAAAGAAAAAGCCTAAAGAGAACAATATTTGCAAACGGTGGACTTAGACTTCTCAGACTTCTCACAGCGGTTGCTATCTGGTTTTGTTCTTATTTTCTATGAGTTTTTAAGTCTTTTAACGAGGATGACGGGTTAACCTTTAGCCCCAAGACAACAAAGCATTGTTGCTTCATAGTCTCCTAAGTGCAGTCTTTTTGGCCTTATGCATTAGGAAGGGAGCAAAGATTGCAGGCAGAAAATGCTTAGTTTTGGAGAAGTAAACAATTAGAAAAAAACCAGACATAAACATGGGCTGGCTAACAGATATGGTCCTGGGACTCTCCCATCCGGGATTCCCCTCAAGGTTTTAAAACGCGTCCACTAGGGAGAGGTTTTCACACCCTTATAAGGAATGCTATGCTTCCCTCTCCAACCGATGTGGGATCTCACAAAACATAACCATGGCTATACAAAGCAGTCCAAATGCAGAAGAAGGAAAAACGCTAGCAGATATTGTCCTCTTTGAGTTTTCCCTTCCGGGTTTCCCCTCAAGACTTTAAAACACGTCCACTAGGGAGAGGTTTTCACACTCTTATAAGGAATGTTCCGCTTCCCTCTCCAACCGACGTGGGATCTCACAAAACATAACCATGGCCATACAAAGCAGTCCAAAGGCAGAAGAAGGGAAAAATGCAAGTAGATATTGCCCTCTTTGAGTTTTCCCTTCTGGGTTTCCCCTCAAGGTTTTAAAACACGTCCACTAGGGAGAGGTTTCCACACCCTTAAAAGGAATGATCTGTTCCCCTCTCCAATCAATGTGGGATCTCACAAAACATAACCATAATAGTCATACAAAGCAGTCCAAAAGGCAGAAGAAGAAACAAAAAACTCAACCTATCATATCATTCAAGAATCTCAAATCAATCATCTTCATTTTTGAAGTTTTGTTAATGCATTTCTGAGTCACTTGTGTTTTTCAATAACCAGAAAGGAGAATCAGTCTACCCAAAGGCTTGAAATTGCTTCCAGACAAACGAATAGTAATGCCAAGATATTGACAATTAAGGAATCACTATGGCGCCGGCAAGGCTCAAATATAAAGTAGAATCATTCTTATCTCACCTGGCATTGGCCATTTCAGAGAATGCTGCTCCTCTCTTTCTCTCTGTCACTCTTCTAAACCACAGAGCTGAAAAAATGGCAGGCAAAAGCATGTTTCGGTATGCTGATGGCTTCGACAAGTTTCTGATGTTTTTTGGGACTTTGGGCAGCATAGGAGATGGATCACAGATCCCTCTCACGATGTTCCTTCTTAAGGATGTAATCAATGCTTATGGAGACAAGAACAGTGGCTTGACAAACGATATGGTTGACAAGGTAAGGCTTGCTCCTCTTTGTTATGTTGCCTTTTCTTATGGAAAACTCTGTCGTTGATTTGATTGAGAGGAAATTAACAAATACTTGAAACCAATAATAGTGGCTAGATAGAAAGGACAGAAGGTAAAGTGAACTAACTACACATTTTCAAAAAGAAAAGGCAAGAGAGAAGAATTGTGAGATTTCACATTGATTGGAGAGAGGAACGAGTGCCAGCGAGGACGCTGGTCTCCGAAAGTGGGTGGATTGTGAGATCCCACGTCAATTGGAGAGGGGAACGAGGGCCAACAAAGACGTTGGACCCCGAAGGAAGGTGGATTGTGAGATCCCACATTGGTCGGGGAGGAGAACGAAGCATTCTTTATAAGGGTATAGAAACCTCTCCTTAGCAGACACGTTTTAAAAATCTAGAGGGGAAGTCCGAAAGGAAAAGCCCAAATAGGACAATATATGCTAGCGGTGGGCTTGAGCTGTTAGAAATGGTATAAGAGCCAGACACCGGGCAATGTGCCAGCGAGGAGGCTGAGCCCCAAAGGGGGTGGACACGAGGAGGTGTGCCAGCAAGGACACTAGCCCCGAAGAGGGGTGGATTGGGGGTTCCCATATTGATTGGAGAAGGAAACGAGTGCCAGCGAGGATGCTAGGCTCCTGAATAGGGGTGGATTGTGAGATCCCACATCGGTTGGGAAGGAAAACGAAACATTTTTTATAAGGGTGTGGAAACCTCTCCCTAGCAGCCACGTTTTAAAAACCTTGAAGGAAAGCCCAAAGAGAACAATATCTGCTAGCGGTGGGCCTAGGCTGTTACAAAAGAACTAACGAGAGACTGAAACAAAGAATATGTCCAACTAAGACCAAATACCATAGCATAAAACATAATGTTCAGCCCACAAAACAAATAGCTTACAGCTCTCGATCATATATTGTTTGATCATAAGGCAACCAAAGGAGGCAGAGAAAGAAAACAGTTTCTACAATAGTGAGATGCCTTCCTGGCCAGAGGAAAAATACTAGAAACTGCATTTAATTATGAACTTTTGTCATTTATTACCCAGCCTACAGGCTAAATGCTGTTAGTGATATAGTTTGTACAGCAATTTGTTAACTTGCTATTCTAATATGTTTCAGTTTGCACTGCGTCTACTTTACGCTGCAGTTGGCGTCGGACTTTCAGCCTTTGTGGGTGAGCCTAGTTGCTGGAAATATATTCATGGGGTAAGAGGGTAATAGTTTATGTTTTTCTCACTAAGCTTCACAATTTTAACTTTTCAGAGGGATTGTGTTGGGCAAGAACAGCAGAGAGACAGACATCTAGGATGAGAATGGAATATTTGAAATCTGTGCTTAAACAAGAAGTTAGTTTCTTTGATACCCAAACCGGTTCGACGACTCACGAGGTTGTCTCCCTCATTTCCTCCGACGCCAGTTCAATCCAAGTCGCCTTATGTGAAAAGGTTCGGTCTCAGAGAAACTATCAATGAATCTATTTGGCTATCTACATAACTACTAATTACCAGAAACTATGTTAGAGATATTTATCAGCAAGGTTTAAACTATATATGTAGACAAGATTTTCTAATATGTAAGGATCATCCAATAAATATGAAAAACACGGATAGCCCAAGAGATATCAATAATTTCATCTACCATCATGCAGGAATATCTCATTCTTTCTTTCTATGCAGATACCTGACTGCCTTACTTACATGTCAACATTCTTCTTCTGCCACGTATTTGCCTTTATAGTATCGTGGAAATTCACCTTTGCAGTCATCCCGCTCTCGGCCATGTTCATTGGTCCAGGGCTTGTGTTCGGCAAGATTATGATGGACCTGATAATGAAAATGATTGAATCTTATGGTGTGGCTGGTGGGATTGCAGAGCAAGCAGTATCTTCAGTAAGAACTGTATATTCATACGTAGGAGAAAGGCAAACACTGGAAAAATTCAGCCAAGCACTCCAAAAAAGTATGGAATTTGGGATTAAGTCCGGTTTGGTGAAGGGATTGATGCTTGGAAGTATGGGAATCATTTATGCTGGTTGGGGCTTTCAAGCTTGGATTGGCACTTATTTGGTCACCGAGAAAGGAGAAAAAGGAGGCAATGTTTTTATAGCTGGTTTCAACGTTCTAATGGGAGGGCTGTGAGTTTTCTTCATCATCTATATCCAGTTCATTCATTGCTGTAGTTAGTTTGCATAATTCCATTCATTGTTTCTTCTGTAAATTCGACATTTTCAGGAGTATACTGAGTGCATTGCCTCATCTAACCTCGATCACAGAAGCAACATCTGCAACTGCTCGTATCCTTGAAATGATCGATCGTGTTGCTGAGACAGACAGAGAAGACAAAAAGGAGAAAGCTCTATCTCACGTGAAAGGAGAAATCGAATTTCAAAACGTATATTTTAGTTATCCGTCAAGGCCAGATACGCCTGTATTACGAGGATTCAATCTAAAGGTTCCAGCAGGGAAGAGAGTAGGACTCATAGGAGGAAGCGGATCTGGGAAGTCCACGGTTATCTCACTGCTTGAAAGATTTTATGATCCTACTGATGGAGAAATATTCTTAGATGGACATAAAATAAAAAGATTTCAGCTAAAATGGCTAAGATCTCAAATGGGTCTGGTGAATCAGGAACCTGTTCTATTTGCAACTTCAATAAAAGAGAACATAATATTTGGAAAAGATGGAGCTTCAATGGAACAAGTGATAAATGCAGCTAAAGATGCAAATGCACACGACTTCATCGTTAAGCTACCAGAAGGTTACGATACTCAAGTAAGTTTTTGTCACATATTTACTTACAGAATTAGGCTGCTGTCTAAGACTTCACGGCTCGAAAACTAGTTATCAACTGCAAAACAAAGAAGTGTATGAAATAGATCAGCCTCTTGGGTAGTTTGAAACAAATACAACAATTTGAAACTAAAAAATAATGGAATGTAGCTTAGTCTGCTTTAAAAAACCTTTGGTATGTCGACTTCTTTTCAGGTCGGTCAGTTTGGTTTCCAAATGTCTGGAGGTCAAAAGCAACGAATTGCGATAGCAAGAGCTCTTCTTCGGGACCCAAAAATACTGTTACTTGATGAAGCAACCAGTGCACTGGATGCACAATCTGAACGAATGGTACAGGAAGCAATTGATAAGGCATCAAAAGGAAGGACGTCGATCACCGTTGCACATCGTCTTTCAACAATACAAACGGCACATCAAATTGTAGTTCTTAAAGCTGGGCAAGTAATTGAATCGGGTTCACACGATGAGCTGATGCTGTTGAACAATGGACATGGTGGGGAGTATCTAAGGATGGTGCAGTTGCAGCAGATGGCAGTGCAGAATGAAACTTTCTACGATTCCAATATTGAAATGGATAGAAGATATCGCCATCGGATGAGTACTCCCACAAGCCCAATCAGTGTGAGATCCAGTGGATATAGTACTCCAGTATTATATCCCTTCAGCTCAGCATTGTCCGTCTCCATGGGAACACCCTACTCTTACTCCGTCCAGTTTGATCCCGATGATGAAAGCTTTGAAGAAGATAAAAAACATCCGGCTTATCCTTCTCCTTCCCAGTGGCGTTTACTGAAAATGAATGCACCGGAATGGGGACAAGCACTGCTTGGATGTTTAGGTGCTTTAGGCTCAGGAGCGGTGCAACCCATTAACGCGTATTGCGTAGGAGCACTCATATCAGTTTATTTTCGTGCTGATGAGCCCAACATTAAGTCTAAAGCCAGAAACTTGTCACTTATCTTCTTAAGCATTGGCATTTTCAACTTCTTAACAAATATCCTGCAACATTACAACTTTTCAATCATGGGAGAAAGACTAACGAAGCGGGTGCGTGAGAAAATACTCGAAAAGCTTATGACATTTGAAATTGGATGGTTCGATCAAGATGAGAACACAAGTGCAGCCATTTGTGCAAGGTTATCAACTGAAGCCAACATGGTCCGTTCCCTTGTTGGAGACAGAATGTCATTACTGGTCCAAGCAATTTTTAGTGCAGCCTTTGCTTACACTGTGGGACTTGTGCTCTCATGGAGATTAACTCTGGTGATGATTGCAGTACAGCCACTAGTCATTGGTAGCTTCTATGCAAGGAGTGTATTGATGAAGAGCATGGCTGAAAAATCCCGAAAAGCACAAAGAGAAGGCAGCCAACTTGCAAGTGAAGCTGTAACGAACCATAAAACTATCGTTGCATTCTCGTCTCAGAAAAAGATACTCGGGCTCTTTGCTGCCACCCTTAAAGCTCCTAAGGAAGAAAGTGCCAGACAGTCTTGGATATCTGGCCTTGGCCTATTCAGTTCCCAGTTCTTTAACACAGCTGCAACAGCTTTGGCCTACTGGTATGGTGGGAGGCTATTGACACAAAACATGATATCCTCAGAGCACATCTTCCAAGCATTCTTGATATTGCTATTCACCGCATATATCATAGCCGACGCTGGAAGTATGACTTCCGATATATCTAGAGGAAGCAATGCTGTTGGATCAGTGTTCGCAATCCTAGACAGGAAGACTGAAATCGATCCCGATCACAAATCAAGACGGGATCTCAAAAGACGGTTAAAGGGTAAAGTGGAGCTCAGGAGTGTTTCATTCTCATATCCAACAAGACCAGAACAGATAGTTTTAAGGGGACTGAGCCTTAAAATTGATGCAGGAAGAACAGTTGCCCTGGTGGGACAAAGTGGCTCAGGAAAATCTACTATTATTGGACTTATAGAAAGGTTTTATGACCCCTCAAGTGGGTCTATACACATTGACGAACAGGACATTAAGAACTACAATTTGAGATGGTTAAGGTCACAAATAGCATTAGTCAGTCAAGAGCCAACTCTTTTTGCTGGAACTATCAGAGAAAACATTGCCTATGGAAAAGAGGAAGCAGGGGAATCAGAGATCAGACAAGCAGCTGTTCTTGCCAATGCTCATGAGTTCATAAGGTAAACAGAACTATATTCTTCCTAAGCTCTCTTCCTTCCCTTTCCTCGTTAAAATAAAGTTCAAATTCATTTCGGATATAAGGGAGTCCCACGTTGGCTAATTTAGGGAATGATCATGAGTTTATAAGTGAGGAATACTATCTCCATTGGTATGAGACCTTTTGGAGAAGCCCAAAGCAAAACCATGAGAGCTTATGCTCAAAGTGGACAATATCATACCATTGTGAAGAGTCGTGATTCCTGACATGGTATCAGAGTCATGCCCTAAACTTAGCCATGTCAACATAGTCCTTAAGTGTCAAACAAAGAAGTTGTGAGGCTCGAAAAAGTAGTCAAAAGTTACTTTAGTGTCGAACAAAGGGTGTACTTTGTTCGAAGACTTCAGAGAAAGGAGTTGAGCCTCGATTAAGCGGAGGTTATTCGAGGGCTCCGTAGGCCTCGGAGGAGGCTCTATAGTGTACTTTGTTCGACAAGAGGATTATTGGGAGGGATTCTCACAATCCCACATTGATTGGGGAGGAGAACAAAACACCCTTTATAAGGGTGTGAAAACCTTCCCCTAGCAGACACATTTTAAAGCCTTGAGGAAAAGCCCGAAAGAAAAACCCAAAGAGGACAATATATGCTAGCAGTGAGTCTAGGCCGTTGCACACATTGGCTAATTTAGGGAATGATCATGGGTTCATAAGTGAGGAATAGTATCTCCATTGATACGAGACCTTTTAGAAAATCCAACCATACCATTGTGGAGAGTCATGATTCCTAACAAAACCGTCAATCAAAGAGTTACCCACCAAAACAAGAGATTTCAATAAACAACACTAAACTTTTCAATATTTCTAATCTAACAGTGGAATGAAAGATGAGTATAATACATACTGTGGCGAGAGAGGAGCGCAGCTATCAGGCGGGCAAAAGCAAAGAATCGCACTGGCAAGAGCGATCCTGAAGAACCCATCAATCCTGCTGCTAGATGAGGCAACAAGCGCGCTCGACAGCGTATCAGAGAATTTGGTGCAGGAAGCCCTAGAGAAGATGATGATAAACAGAACCTGCATAATCGTCGCCCACCGCTTATCGACGATTCAGAAAGCGAACACCATCGCCGTGATCAAGAACGGGAAAGTTGTGGAACAAGGATCGCACAATGAGCTGATTTCAATGGGGCGCCGTGGAGAGTACTATTCTTTGACAAAATCGCAGGCCGGAAACTTCCCTCCGCGCTGAATCGTTGAAATTCTTGTGGGGATTTATGGGTTTAAGCTTGTTGTAATTGTAAGCCCAGAAATTGAATCAGTTAGAACAATTTTTCTATGAACATGATGAACCCACGTCAAATTAAAATGGCTCTTTTTTAGTACCAAACAATATTGAAGTGGAAATTCCAACCCCTATTATAAAATAATAATTAAAAATTAAAAAAAAATAAATAGTAACGTGCTTATCGAGAAATGTTCATTTAGTCTAATGGGTTTCCCGTCAGAAAATGCGAGATGAAATAGATCATTTTCGGATAAATAAGATGAAGACGGGATTATAATTTTCATCTCGTTTCCATCTCGAACTGATTATTTATTACTATGGTGTAATATTCAAATTTAAACATTATAATTATTTTTGTATAATGTAATATTCGTGTTTTTATTATGATATTTTATAACATTTTATTTAAACGGTTATATTTAGAATTATCCATTTAATTTAATTTTTTTTTTTTTAGAATTGTTATTATGGTAGGAAATAAATTTTAAAAATAAAATAAATTTGGGAAAAAACGATTTTCATTTTACGAATCTTTTCCATTCCCACTTTACGACCCATCAGCTCAACTTCTAGGGTCGGAGAATCTCAGTTTAAATCGAAGTGGGGAGAAATTTAAAAATTATATTCACTGTCACGCCCTATTGTATATATTGCTCCCAAATGTTTAATTATATTAAAGAATTTTCGATATTAAAATTTAAATTTTTAGAAATTTGGTTGGGATGACGAACTCAAATATTAATAATTTTTAAAAAAAAATTGGGCCTAATAAATAAATATAAAATATAACTCTTTTAAAATTAAATATCTAACAATATTTATTTAATTGTTTCTCAAATAAAATTACAGACACTAAAATAAATATTTTAAAATTACAAACATCAAATGTAATTAAAATTAATTTCTAACCAAAAATTAATTTCTTGATCTTCTACCGTCGGCCGTGATTGGGCGGTGGAGACACTTCCGACTAAAGACGCCGCCCAAAAATTCCGTCAAATGACGTCATTTCAGAAAAGTTTCCACAAGACAAACACCCAAGAACTCCAGATAACTGTCACCGGCGAGCCGTCGGGCACGGCGGCGCCGGAGCTAAGCGTGATCCCTGGGTATTCCGTCGCTCCCTGCTTGTTGACTTTGAACTCTGCTCCGACTCTCAAATTCTCCCTCTTGGTATTCCAGAACAAGATCTTGAACCGGACCGCCGTCGCCAAATCCAGCCGGAAAATCGCCGACCCATTCCGGGAAACCGCCTTCCAATCCACTCCACGGGCTTCGATGGTCTCGTTTCTGAACGCCTTCTTGCCACGGCCCTGGTGGAATCCGGGCACTGTCACGTTGCCCAGCGGCCGCCCTCCGACGAGAGTGAGGTTGAGATTGAGAGAGTCGTAGAAGACTGATTTGTCTTTGTTCTGGTTTTTGAGGCGCAGATCGAAGGAGACGGTGGAATTTAAGGGCGAATTTAGGGATTGATTTAAGGCTGGAATGTAAAAAGATTCGATCGAGCATTTGGGTTTGCGGGTTCGAAGGCTGAGCCATAAGAACAGAGCAGCGAAGCCGGAAGTTAAGATGAAGCTGAAACAACACCGGCAGCAGCCGCCGGATTCCGTCATGTAAGGCGGCGAACGGAGAAAAGGGATCCGGTGGGAAGGAGGAAGAAGAAGAAGACGAAGAAATGGGAAGTCGAGAACAGGGGGAGTACAATAATGTTGTGTGGGTAGCAAAAGCGAGGTGGGACGGGATGGGACCGACCACAAGAAGACAAAACTCAGTGGAGGAGTACAAAAACTTACCAATTTAAATAAATAAATTATGTATAGTTAACGTGCTCGATGTCACAACCATAGTATGAAGAGAGTAGGTTGTGACCCTCACACCATGACAAGTAAAGAGACGCCCCATCCGGCCATATGCGGGCCAACATAGAAGAATGTCATGATGCGATCGAGGAGGACGATGCATCATCTAACACACCACCAAGCAAAGTGGGTATTAAAGATATATATTGAGACATAAGCATAACAGAGACATCAGCATAGACATGAACGACAAGATAGGCTTGTTGAAGGGCCAGGTAGGGCCCTAGGCCTTAATCTCAAAAGTCAGGGTTTCGGAAGGAATTTGGCATGCGGTTCGGGAGTTAAGTCCGTCCATATGAAATATGAATGCTCGCCAAAATCATGTCTACACCTGGTAGAATGAAAATGACTCAAAATGTACTATAGGGGTACCATGGTATTAGCTCTCCACCACCCCTGGGCCCTGTGGTCTAAGTGAGCTACCCTGTGGCACATACGTGTGTCACAGTGTGGGCGAGCGTGTCGAGACGAGTATCTCGGGCGACTTCCTTTGAAATGGGTTTTTGAAGGACAGTACCGGACGACACGGGTGTGCCGGTATTGCGCCCTAGCCCGCGTGTTGGAGGTTGCTACATACACCCGCTATCCGGGACGGTATCCGTAAATGACTCGGCATGGGCACGGGAGGGCCTATGCCTCGATAGAACCCAGATGGATGGATGTTCGGGAAGTCCCGATGAGATGAACGACACGCGGGCCCATTCTCGATGGCATGACCGAATGAGTTATGATGGCCGACAACATCCCGAGACTCGGGATGGCGCCAAGACATATGGACCCTATCGATGGGGATCAAGATGACAAGATGAGATGCGACGTTATATTGAGAAACCTTGGCCCGAGTAGAGGCAAGGTCGAGCCGAATGAGTTGGTCTAGCGTAGAGGCAAGTCGGATGTGTCGCAGATGATTGAACATACACGCACAGGCGACGTATGTGGTTGAACAAGCTTGGATTCTGCACAAGCGATGTTCGATTGGCGAAGACAAACCTCGCCTAAGGACCGACGAAGCCACAAAGCTGAGGTGAAAAATACATATGAGGCTTAATTCCCCTTAAGGCTAGTCGTGAGCGTGTATAGATCACGACGCCGCACGGTCAAGAAGGTAGGACCGTGACACTGGACCCACCAGCCACGAACCGTGTAGGATCGTGTTTGGGTTGAAGAGGAAGTGGGGATAGATTATTCCTCATTAACTAAATGGGGATGAGGACTGAGATTGGATTCTCCAGCCATCAATTGTGTAGGATTGTATTTTGATTGAAGAGGAAGCAGAGATAGATTATTCCTCGTTAACTAAATGATGACGAGGATGAAGATTGCATTCTCGAGCCACCAATTGTATAGGATCGTGTTTTGGTTGAAGAGAAAGCGAGGATAGACTATTCCTCATTAACTAAATGGTGATGATAATGTAGATTGCATTCTCCTGACACCAACCACGTAGGATCGTGTTTTGATGGAAGAGGAAGCTTATCCATCATTGGTCTACCCCGTGCACATCTCTAGTTACAATCAACTCTTAGATGTAACAATAACATGAAAAGTCGTAGTAATATTTGAATTTTAATTCTTGTTTCGTACATTTATCACACGATACTATTTCTGGTCTCAGTTTTCATTTAAAAGATACATTTGTGTTTGAAGTAATTTTTTAAATCACTATTGTCTTTGGTTTTTTTAGGAAATATTTTAATTTTATGCATCAAATTGTAAATAAACATTTGTAATATTTCTTGTATTTAATATTTTTTTAGTGGTGGGGCATCTATTTAATAAGTGAGAAGGAAGTGGTCAAAAAACAACAAATTGAAAAGTTAATGACGTCATACTTATTCTGGTTGATGATGTAATAATATCATTCATTCATAAACTATTAAAAAAAGTAATTTTTATTTTCGGTCAAATAATTTTTTTTAAAAAAATTGAAGTTTTTTTTTCTTTAAATTAACTAATCTATTAAAAATAATTAGTATATATTTCTAATCAAAATTCCAAATGAACAAAATAACTGACAACGATAACTTCATTTCAATAAGAACATTGGTTTGTTCGAACTAACCCAACAAAAAAACATGGTCAAGATAACAACATTAATATCTATATGAAAAGGAACAATAAACAATATTGAATTAACTAGTAAAGAAATGAACTTCCCTCTACTCCTACCGTTCTCCAGCTTAGTAAGACAGCTTGGTAAGACGATTGCTTCCAAACTAGTTTAGAAAGAACCAAATTTCGCCGTGAAAAAAAAAAAATAAATAAGAACATTTTTTTTTCTTACACAAGTCGCGTGTTTGCACCAGCGCAAACGCATCTAAATGGTTCGCACAAGAGATAGGGAGATGTTTCATTCATCGTCTTTGTAAGGGTACTCTTCGGGGATTTGCTTCAACAATTTTACTTGTAATTCGAAGCTGTCATCTCCTCTCAGCATGTCACGTAGCCATGTTACTTCGATTTTCATTGACACCTAACCCCAACACCACACCACAATCATAAAAAATGACAAAAATTCATGCTTTCATCCATGAAATTAAATGACAAGTTTAGTTCTTATACTTTCAGTTCTATTTCATCATCGAACTTAAAAAAGTGACTACTATAACATAAAACAAAAAAAAAAAAAAAACAAAAAAAAATTATCTTAATTTTTCATAAAGAAGAAATGAAGGAAACAAATTGTGAAAAAGAATAGAATCCCAAATAACATTTTAGCCGTGTTAGCGTGTCTTTATCCAGACACACGTCTAACACCATAACACTTTTGACACTTGTTGAAAACGTATTAGACACTTGTTAGTCTAATAAATGTGTTAGATACCAGTTCTACAACGTTAATACACACCCGGCATTTGCTAGACACGTATAAAAGACAATGTAAAACGCCTAAAAATGATATATATTTTAATAAATGCATTCATGTGTCGTCATCATGTCCTAGATTTTAAAATATAATGTATCCGCATGACCGTGTTTTATATCAATATTTGTGCTTCTCAAAAGAATAATAAGTAAGCTAAGATTAAAGAAGAAGAGAACTCACCATCTCAAGGGCTCCTCTAATGACTCCACTTAAGATGTTGCAGTAATGTAGACCCTGGCAAGTATCAGGAAGCTCAACAAAGTCCACTAATGGATTGTCCTCAAGAACAATGCTGCAGCATGTGCCTTCAGCATCCCAGTTGGTTACCGTTGCATTCACTCCCAAAAACATTTTTAAACCGATCTATTACAAAAGGAAGGAAAAAAAAAAAAACATTCTAAATAAACCGGTAGGTTTGTAATATCTTAGATAGATGGTCTAACGTACGTTTTCGAGAAAATAAGTTAATATCCCCGCACTTCAAAAGGCTTTAAACTAACATTTAGAATGGGTCAACAGCTGCCAGCAGATATTGACTGTTTTTGCCCGTTACGTATCACTGTCAACCTCACGATTTTAAAACGCGTCTATTAGGGAGAGATTTTCACACCCTTGTAAGGAATGTTTCGTTCCCCTCTCCAACCGATGTGGGATCTCACAATCCACCCCCTTGGGAGGCCCAACGTTCTCGCTGGCACATTGCCCGGTGACTGGCTCTGATACCATTGTAATAGTCCAAGCCCGATATTGTCCGTTTTGACAATTTTAAAACGTGTCTACTATGGAGAAGGTCTAGCACTACTCTGACCAATGCCTCGCACCATCCGGTGATTGGCTCTGATACCATTTGTAACAGTCCAAGCACACAACTAGCAAATATTGTCCGTTTTGCTTATTACGTATTGCTGTCAGCCTCACGGTTTTAAAATGCGACTGTTAAGAAGAAGTTTCCATACTCTTGTAAGGAATATTTTGTTCCCTCTCCAACCAATATGGAATCTCACACAGATAAACACAAAAATGCTCACTAAAGAGCACTATGACTACCTAACATATCTACCCTCCCCTTGACAGAGCCCAAACAAAAACTATTTTTGACTGCTGTTAAAAAATAAGGACCACACTCATAGGTTAAATGCACCAAGCGTCTAACATTCTTATCAAAACCATGCATATAAGAGAAATCCCGTTTCATAATTAAGCCATGTCCTGAGATCCAATGGTATAAAAAATTCAAATGGACATGAACAGACCCACTCTAGCTAACTGCAAAAAGCCTGTTGCATCAGAGTTTTTAACACTGTACTCGAAACCTACACCTCAATTGCAGGTCATGCCAAAAGTAGCAGCGTTCATATGGACAAGGAAAACGAAATGGCTTCGATAGGACCAACCTAATGAGACCACGCTAGAGACTTCCTGAACCGAATAGGGTTTAGATACCAATATGAATATGGGACAATCAAGTCACGATTGGGAGATGACAAGGTGTAACAGCCCAGACCCACCGCTAGCCGATATTGTCCGCTTTAGCCCGTTACGTAATAGCGTTAACCTCACGATTTTAAAACGCGTCTTCTAGGGAGAGGGTCTAGCCCTACTCCAACCAGTGTCTCGCACCATCCGGTGACTGGTTTTAATACCATTTATAACAGCCCAAGCTCACTGTTAGCAAAGATTATCCGTTGTGGCCCGTTATGTATCACCGTCAGTCTCACGGTTTTAAAACGCGTCTACTAGGGAGAGGTTTCCATACCCTTATAAGGAATATTTTCCCCTCTCCAACCGACGTGAGATCTCAAAATCTGGGATCTCAAAAGCTAGTTCAACAACCTCACGATGGCTTTCAGAGAGAATAAAATACTTTGGCACATGTATTAAACTACAACCTACCTTTGCAATCACGTCAGCTGTCTCTTTGAAGTCCACACATCTAGAGATATTAGATTTTGCTAGAAACTCATCAATCAGCCTGATTCCAATATTGTAACCCCTGAAAAACAATTGACAAAACAGTAAGATCACTGAATCTAATGCGTGTGTTATCACAAGGACATTAAGTTTAAGCACAAAAGAATTTTTAATATTTCATCAAAATGAACTTAGGAAGAACCGTAAAAGATAATATGCTTAGTGTTTACCCACCATTTGCATGCACACTATTTCTTTTTTCATGAAAAACCAACTTTCTTGCAGAAGATGAAAGATCGAAATACGAAAAGAGATACAAAAATTAAAAAACACCCGATCGAATAGAAGAATATAATTCTCATGCACAATTTTTTTGTTCACCGGACAACCTTTTGACACTACAATATTTGGTTATCAAGAAACTCGTGTAATTTTATTCTCCGTAAGTGGCCACTATAAAGTTTGCACCTATTCTCCCAAAGTTCCTTAATTTTTTCACATGCCCCAACACATCTAAGCCAATCATTGGTGGTTCTCATGCACCTTATTTCAAAATCTCAAACCAAAATTCAAGCAAATTTCATAACAATGAAAAGAAGTAAGCTTCTGCAGAACTGCTATGGTAGGAATTTTCATAATGTTATTAAATTCATTCAAGTTTAAATACTCGGTATACTACAGAGGTGTGAGATCCCACATCGGTTGGGGAGAAGAACAAAACATTCTTTGTATGGGTGTGTGAAAACCTCTCCCTAGCAGACGTGTTTTGAAATCTTGAGGGAAACCCGAAAGGGAAAGCCTAAAGAGAACATGATTTGCTAGCGATGGGCTTCACTATTACAAATGGTATTAGAACTAGACACGAGGCGATGTGCCAACGAGGAGGCTGAGCCTCAAAGGGGGTGGACACGAGGCGGAGTGCTAACAAGGACATTGGGCTTCGAAGAGGGTGGATTGGAGGACCCACATCGATTGGAGAAGGAAACAAATGCCTGCAAAGATGCTTGCCCCAAAAGGGGTGGATTGTGAGATCCCACATCGGTTGGAGAGGAGAACGAAACATTCTTATAAGGGTGTGGAAATCTCCCCTAGCATACGTGTTTTAAAAACCTTGAGAGGAAGCCCGAAAGGAAAAACTCAAAGAGGACAATTATCTGCTAGCGGTGGGCTTGGGATGTTACAAGAGGTAAGATTTTTTTTTGTATGCACTTCCTTTAATTTCCTTTGCCTTCCGAGGTCATACATTGATGAGAGCCAATGAACAACCAAAGAAATAACAAAGCAAAGACACAACGAAACAGCTAATTCAGACAAAAAAAACAAGTCATCAGTGGACAAAGCAGAATTCCAAGTTATGAAAAAAGAGACTGAATAATAAAGCACGTGAAGTGAATAAAGATTACATCTGATCGAGCTGTTTGTTAACCTCCTCAACCTCCTCCAGATCTGTAAGCAATTGACGGACGGTTGCTCCATAAGTCAAGGTAAACAGCTCCGCATTCTGCATCAATTCAACTTTAGCTTCTTATCAATGGAAGATGACTCAAAAACAGAAACGAAATCGAAGACCTAAAAATGTGTTTTCTCATCGATGACCATTACACACACATCTTGATCATGTACAGACTTACCACTTCGGATCACCTGATCAAATTCCTCACCACTTCCCTCGCATTTGTTTAAAATTCCTCAGAACCCAAACAACAGGAACAATTAAGAGAGAGAGAGAATGGAAGTTTAGAAGCTTACCACTCGCTCAACGCTAGCGAAGATTGCATCACCAGATCGAGGACCAGCGGTAGGCATGATTGATATGAATTCAAAGGAACGTTTAGGTAGACGCTTTGCTGGTTGCCGCTACATAAGTGAAGAAACTTAGAGTTAGTTTTGTTGATTGTGGGCTGAATGACCTAAATCGCCTTCGTAGCTCGAGATCAAAGCTTTGGGCCTTCCAAAGTGTTTATAGATCGATATCAAATTGGGATTTCATTACATCTTTACAGCAAATTGATTCGATCCTGACGAAGGAATATATTAAAACGTATTTGAGTTGAGTCCGGAAACTTACAGTTCCGGCGATCGAAGACGGAAGCTGATACCGGGAGTGAGGAGTGTGGCCGACGCCGACGGTAATGGCGGTTCCAATATGCTAAGTGGATGAAAACCGTGTGAGAGCAAAGAATAGTTTCTAACTGCTTCTCTCGCGAAATGCGTGATACTATTTGGAGCGTGTCAATTACTATTATAAACAATATTTCGTTCTTCTTCTACTGATGTGAGATTTCACAATCTACCCATTCAGGTCTTAACGTCCTTATTCGTACATTGTCTTATGTCCACCCCTTTGGAGCTCAGCCTTCTCGCTGGCACATCGATTAGTGTTTGACTCTAATATCATTTGTAACAACTCAAATTCATCAAGATATCGTCATTTTTAGACTTTTGTATCTGAACCCAATAACTAATATTTAGTATGAATTTATAAATATTTAGTAAATATTTGATTAAGTTATAAATTTAAATTTAATTTTTTAATATGAATTTATTTTAAATTAACATCTAAGTAAATGTAAAATATATAAATGAACTGAAATATTTAATAACTAATAAATATTTAAAATAATTAAAAATTATTATCTATACTAATACCATATTCTTAATAAATATTTAAAATAATATATTTTGTGACATAAATTATTAATAATTATAATATTATTTAAAATCATTGCCACCATTAAAAGTATTATATAAATTATTTATATAATCATTGTTTCACATTAATTTTTGTATCCATTTATATAAATAATGTTGATTTTATTCATTTTTTTCAAATGAATTTTAATTTTTATTCTTATAATTAAAAAAAATAAAAATAAATAAATAAATATATATATATATATATATATATATATATAAAAGGTTTCTGGAATCTCCCATAAACCGGAGGAAGTTATCCAAATGGTGGCTTGCAAGCCAAGAACCGCCATTGAATTCGTTTATTCCTCCAAATCCCATCCCTCAAAATTGGCAATTGAACCCTATAAATTCACCTCTTTGTCGTCCCTAATCCTTCGTCTTCCAGTTTTTCTTTCAAAGCTCTTTTTTCCCATCTCGTTGCGCTCTTTCTTCATCTCAAGGTATGATTCCTGACTTTTCGTTTTTTCAAGGATGTTCGGAGTTGGTGTTTGTTCAATTCTTTGATGTTCCGTCTTTATTGTGTCGATCTGGGAGTTGTTGCTTTTCTGTTGCTCTTGAATTCGTTTTTAGGAGTGTTTTTGCGGATTGATTTTGGATTTCTTCGAGTTTCTCCGATTTCAGAACATCTGATTATCTATCTTTCTCCAAGAAGCGGTTGAATTTGTATTCGTTTTCGATACACGGCTTACGTTGCTGTGTTTTCTTAATTCTACTGTTTTCATGTTCGTCGTTAGATCCTGCAGAGAATTCTCTCGATCTACAGTTTCGTTTCCGCAAATAGGAACTTGATTTTTGATCTTGGCTTTTATATATTCGGATCGATTAGAGGTTCTAAACTAATAGGAAGGATCCAAGAAGTGATAAAAAGGGCTGATTGGTTAAAAAAATTGAATTGAGAAGTTAGGATTTTGAAATTTCTGGCTTGGTCCTGTGCTCGAGTTCTTCTAATTCATCGTTTTTAGTGGTCTTTTCGCTTATGGTTTGGTTCTTGAGCTACTTATGATCTGATTGGATAAAAAAAATTGAATCGAGAACTTAATATTTTGAAATTTCCTTCTAAGTTGAAGATTTCTAGCTTGGTCCTGTACTTGGTTCTTCTAATTCATCGTTTTTAGTAGATTGTTCGCTTATGGATTTGGTTCTTGAGCTATTTATGATTTGATTGGATAAAAAAATTGAATTGAGAAGTTAATATTTTGAAATTTCCTTCTAATTTGAAGATTTCTAGCTTGGTCCTGTTCTCGATTATGATGGATTTGGTTCTTGAGCTGTTTATCATGTCACCTGATTCAATCCATATATTTTCCAATGATTTTCAATAGAACTTTGATTGCTGTGTTAACAGATGCAAATCTTTGTAAAAACTCTAACCGGCAAAACAATCACCCTCGAGGTGGAAAGCTCAGATACAATTGACAATGTTAAGGCTAAGATTCAAGATAAAGAGGGAATTCCACCCGACCAACAAAGGCTTATCTTTGCTGGTAAGCAACTTGAGGATGGCCGAACGCTGGCCGATTACAATATCCAAAAGGAATCTACACTCCATTTGGTGCTTCGACTTCGCGGTGGGATGCAAATATTTGTGAAGACCCTTACTGGCAAAACCATCACCCTTGAGGTGGAAAGTTCTGACACAATTGACAATGTCAAGGCTAAAATCCAAGATAAGGAGGGTATCCCGCCTGATCAACAGAGACTAATTTTCGCTGGTAAGCAGCTCGAAGATGGTCGAACTCTTGCCGATTACAATATTCAGAAGGAATCTACTCTGCATTTGGTTCTTCGACTTCGTGGGGGTATGCAAATTTTTGTTAAAACTTTGACTGGAAAAACAATTACATTGGAGGTAGAAAGTTCAGATACCATCGACAATGTGAAAGCTAAGATCCAAGACAAGGAGGGCATTCCACCAGACCAACAGCGGTTGATCTTTGCTGGTAAGCAGCTCGAAGATGGTCGAACTCTTGCTGATTACAACATTCAAAAGGAGTCGACGTTGCATTTGGTGCTCCGATTGCGCGGTGGAATGCAGATTTTCGTGAAGACATTAACGGGGAAGACGATCACATTGGAGGTCGAAAGCTCGGATACGATCGACAACGTGAAGGCGAAGATTCAAGACAAGGAGGGCATTCCACCAGACCAGCAGCGTTTGATCTTTGCTGGTAAGCAACTGGAAGATGGTAGGACTCTAGCAGATTACAACATCCAAAAGGAGTCGACGTTGCACTTAGTGCTACGACTGCGCGGTGGAATGCAGATCTTCGTGAAGACGTTAACAGGGAAGACAATCACATTGGAGGTTGAGAGCTCGGACACGATCGACAACGTGAAGGCGAAGATTCAAGACAAAGAGGGGATTCCTCCAGACCAACAAAGGCTGATCTTTGCCGGAAAACAATTGGAGGATGGTAGAACTTTGGCTGATTACAATATTCAGAAAGAGTCCACCCTCCACCTTGTTCTCCGCCTGCGCGGTGGCTCTTAGGGTGGCTCCGCCCTGTTATTGCTGGACTTGTGGTTTCCCTTGGCCCCTTCTGAATGGTTTTAATAAGTCAGAACTCATTTTTTTTCTTTTATTTCTTTTATTTCAGCGTCTGTTATATATAAATAATAATATGCTGTTTGTTGCAATGGCCTAACGGGCCATGTTAAAAACGGCTTCTAAAATGAATGTATTATTATGAATTTTTAAATTAATATTTTGGTTAAATATCTTTTCTTTTGTAAATATTCTTTAATAATTTCAATGTATATTTTTCTCTTTTTAAATAAATATTATATATATTTTATTATTTTTAATTTTTTTTAACAGTTAAATAGTGCATAAAAAAATTATTTTGAGTTAAAAACAACCAATTTAAAAATAATATGTTGGCAATTAAAATACAAATTATTGCGTCATTTTTCCTTTCTTTTATTTAAATAATTATATAAAATGTAAAATAAAAAAAAATTTAATTAATAAATAAATTCCTTCAACCAATAAAATAATAAAAAAATAATGTTTCCAAATATGAAAAGATCTATTTTTTAATTAATATATAAAATGCACCTAGATATTAAATTAATTAATAGAATGCAAAAAAATTAATTTTATTTTAAAGTTTTAAGGTATTTAATATATTTAAAGTAAGAATAATTTTTATTAATTTAGCCATGGAATCTGTTATATATTTTTTATGAATTAAAATTTTAATTTAATTAAATGTAAATTAATTTAATTAAGGAACATGGCAGATCTGAAAATACAGCTACAATACAGGGCATTTCCAAAATGTTATGGGCACATAAAACCGAACCGGAGAAGCCGTTCGAACCGCTTTAAGTAGTTAAGTCAGAGGTGTAAACGGCGTCGTATATTGGTCGGTCTTCCGCCTTCCTCTTCGTTATTGTTTGTTTTGTTCATTCTGATCGGCGATCTTCACTTCTGAAGCGCCAATTTCTGGGTATTGTTCGTCATCGCGTTTGATGTCGTTTTTAATCATAATTGTTGTGTGCCAGAAGTTTGATCTGTTTGAAGATGTTTTGTTTGCAATTGTTTTAAGCGATTGAATTTTTGGTCATAGGTGTATAGAAGTTGGAAGTTGGAAGATGGAGGAATTTATTGTGGCAGTTCTCTCGATGCTGCTTGTTTTTGCGTTGGTTCCTCTGTTTCTGTGGAGACGCTATCAGGACTCCCACTCAGATCATGCACATGAAGATGAGGATCAGGTGTGGTTTTGGAGGCTCGGTCAGGGTTTATTTATTTGTTTCTTTTGTATTGAAATGCTATTGCTGAGGTTATCAATCTGTTTGGAAGAAAGGTTATCGGGGTTTTTACTTGGTTGTTGGAATTTGTCAGGTTCCTCAGAGAGAAACTGTGGTTCGGGCCACTGCTGGTGGCCGTCGAATGCGTCGGAGACCTGCTACGGCTGCTAGTTCGTCGAATGCTGGGCCATCTCTGGAAGGTTTGCATCAATTAGCATTCTGTGTTCCGAGATTTTTTTTGTTTAGTTTTAATTGTATTATTCTGTTATGTAATTCTGTGACACAATTGTGAGGGGGTATCTGAGATCCCACATCGGTCTGAGAGAGGAGTGAAACATTCCGTATAAGAATGTGGAAACCTATTCCTCGCAGACGCCTTTTAAAACCGTAAACATAACGGGTCAAAGCTGTGGGCTTGGACTATTGCAAATGGTATCAGAGCCAGACATCGGGTGGTGTGCAGTGAGGACGCTGGACCCCTAAATGGGGTGGATTGTAAGATCCCACATCGGTTGGAGAGAGGAACGAAACATTTCTTATAAAGATGTGAAAACCTCTCTCTAGTAGACACGTTTTATTCGATTGTTGACATTCACCGTTAAAAATATCCAAAATGACCGAAGATTGTACACAAGGGAAATAGTATACAAACTGGGATAACAAATAGCTAAAGGGAGATCACTTTACCTAACTGTCTACCCAAACCATATCTGTTACTCTTGTATGGTATTTTCTCAATCACAAACATTTATGGTATGTTTAACATAACATTCTGTAGTTGCTTGTATTTTATATTTAGGTTATCCGATATAGTGTACACATTTGGTATGAGATAGTCAATCTTTATCAAGTAATGAAGAAAATGTACTAATGAAGGAGAGAGAAATTGAGGGTTGTCGACCCTTCGGTTTGGAATATGAAGGTTTTATATGATTATTGTAATAAGTATCCAAGATGGAAGATGTTGGGAGTGCTTTGGTATAATCAAATGTGGTCTTTTAAATTAGGAATTCATTGTGGAAACTCTAACAATTATTCCTGATGATTCTGGAACAGAAAGTGCGGATGGAAGTGATGAAGAAATGGCGGATGAATACAGTGAAGGTAGAGTGTCAAAGAAGAAAGAAAAGAAGCGACAGGAGCGCGAGGCACAGAGACAGGTAACGTATGTGAAGTTTTGACATATTTATGGAGACAGGACTATAATATTAGGAGAACCAGTTCGAAGTCTATTTTTCTGAAATTGTTGATGTTGAAAGTTGAGATTGTTGACGAACTGCATCTTTGTGTGTTGAAAACCGAGTCGTATATATGATTTCACTATACTTGAAAGAATGCAGATGTCTTAGGTTCTTATCTTCACTGTGTGGCTCTTATAGTTTTCTTTTCTTCATCATATTTTCTTACATTTTGTTCTCTTTTATACTCTATTGGTTAACTGTATATTAGTAAAAATGATTGTTTTGAAGGCCGAACAAGCTTCCCGTGACTCAAGGTGGACAAAACAAGACCGTTATGCAGAAATGCGGAGGAAGAAGGATGAGGAACATGAGGAGCAGGAACGGTTACTGGTTAGTTAATCAACCACCCTGTCTTTCGAGAACTCTGATGTAGACACGTGCGAGGTAGGCTGGAGCTTCTGTGGTTGAATGGTGATGGTCTCCTTTCTTTGTTTAGGAAGAAGAAGCCAAGGCACGGAAGGCCAAGGAGGAAGAGGCTGCTTCACTTGAGTTTGAGAAGTGGAAAGGGGAGTTTTCAGTTGATGCTGAAGGTACGACGGAAGCTGATGTCGAAGGCAGAAATCAAGATTTGCTCTCTGCATTTGTGGAGTATATAAAGGTGAAGTCTGTCATGTTCTAATGATTCAGTATTTCACCTTATAGGAATCTTAACGTATTCTTGTTCGTATTTTAGTATAGGTTGGGAATAAGATCTGCCCATGGACTACTAAACCCGACTATTCTTTGTTAAAGCTGTTTAATCTACGCTTTCCTTGCTGCTCTATACCTGAAGCCCTTTTTATGTTCCTCTACAGAATCATAAATGTGTCCCATTGGAAGAACTTGCTGCAGAATTTAAATTAAGAACTCAGGTAACCTAGATAATGGTTGTTGTATGTAATGCATTCAAGGTTTAGTTGCGGTCGTAGTTGTTGTTATTTCTTCAAAAGAAATCGAAAAAATAATCAGAGTCGAGAAGAATGATTTTCTGTTCTTTGACTGACTTTGAATTAGGTCTTCGTTTTGTCGTCACCATTTTTATGCAAATATTACACCTCTATTTATGTCGCACTACATTTCGTTAATGCAGGAATGTATTAATCGGATCACCTCCCTCGAGAGTATGGGTACGACTCTTTTCATTTTTCTCTCTCTTGTCGAATGCATTTCATCCTAGGTTCGTGTCTGTCATAAGTTCTTGCAAGCGTCTACCATCGTGAACTTTCAATTATGATATCACAAGAAACGTTACCGATGATTCTGATCGAAGAAACGCACGAATTTTACAGGCCGACTCTCTGGTGTTATGGATGATAGAGGAAAATACATATACATATCAAAGGATGAAATGCAAGCAGTTGCTGACTACATCAAGCGCCAAGGAAGGGTTAGCATTTCACATTTAGCTAGTAAGTCCAACCAGTTTATTGATTTGGAACCAAAAGCCCAATTGGTCGAGGAGATCAATGTTGAGGAGGTAACTGTCTCTTAATATACTTGTTAATTTTGGATAGAAATGTTACATGAAATAATCATAATCATAATCATAATCAACTAGTATATAATTTACCCAATGATCGTTCACGTTGATTGCGGGTGGCTGTCGATATTCTCCTTCTCTACGCAGGTTCTTGAGCTGTTCTTGTTATATTATTTTTCATGTCCTGCATTTAAGTTCGGATTCATCTCATTCCTAGAAATAGAAGATGATCCATGGGTTGGACATTTAGTCGTGTGATGTATGGAAATAGGAATCAACAGAAACTTCTCTTGAGTGAGGCAAATTGTTGATCATCACCATGATTGTCTTTATGCTGCATAGGATCGGACGAAGTGATTCGAACATTTTTTTAGAGGACAAAATAGTTGTTACGAGTTAAAGATTCGCCATGGTAGTAGGATTCATGAAAACAAATAAATAGATGTTTTAGGTCCGAAGTCGGGACCTTTAGGTGAGGTTAATACGAAAAATCCTTGATGTCCCTTGAGTCTAGGTCTTGGGGTGGGTGTGGGTGCCTCCGGGTATAGGGAAACAAAGCACCGATCCTGGTTACTAAAGGTTAGTCTTCGAGTCTAAGTTTTATATGTTTGTCATGTTTAGAGTCTCTGAAAACTAGAATCACCCTTCCACCAGATATGATCATGAACACCGTCGTGTCCGAGGCTTGGAAGGTCTGTATTACCTGATGGGGAAGACAATTGGGACCGACCCGAGATTCGATCCGCGATTACCGAAAAAGCAGCATATCTGTGATCTCTTTTACTAAGAACTTGAGGAACCTCAACCCAAAGGAAGGAGATGGACTCCCTTCAAACTTCAGTCATAGTTTGGAGTGGGAGTGTACGTAGGGTGGGTAGTAAGGTAAGGAGGCCACTGGAGAGGAAGCCAAACGGCCTATTAAGCGTGCTGCTTGTCACAATTGTATTCTTGTGGTGTGGTAGTGGGACAACGATTATACGATATTTGTTCTAACCCAACGAACAAGTCAGCTACAAGAAATTCAGACGTCGCGGACAACGTCGGCATATGTTTAGGCCTTGAGTCATGTTTGCGAGAAATGTTTAAGAAAACGTGAGTGATTAAATACATTTGAAAATGATTTGAAAGAATTGAAGAAAGCAACGTTATATGACTCTAAACAAATAAAGGAACATCATGACTTAAATAACATATAATTCAGGGTAAGAAAAAGTGACAACCAGTCATATCCCCCTATAATACATTTTAGGGCATCTTAGTCCTTATTGATTTTGGTGAATTAGTAAATACCTATCTAAGATGAAAGCATGTAAAAAGGGTTTGGAACGGATATGTGGCTATAAACAACACTTCCTGAACAACTGTGACCGTATCATCCAACGTGCGGCCTTAGACAATAAGCCTTGGACAAGCATGACCGTGCCCTTGTCTTAACAAGTCAATCTTGTTTGAAAAATGATTATCGAGTTGGAATGGTTTATACATAAAGGTGTGGAGCACGACTCTATAATCTTTAAACCTAACCGGGTATCTTTCTCTATTCCCTTCCCTTATTGTTCTTCAGTTTTGTGAGGTTTTCATTAAACTTTGGCCTACAAAAACCCTTCGCCATTTGTCCTTAAGCTGCCATTAATTGCTTTATAAAGCTGCATCAAAAGGGTTAAAGGGTTGAGGAAGACCCAGTTTCCATCTCTGCTGATATATATATATATATATAGCCATCTACTTTTTGGGGCTTTGATAACAAATTATTAACTTTACTTTCCATTTGTGATCTCACTCAATTTTTATGAAGGTGTTGTTGCAGAAAGCGATGATCTGAAGCAAAAAGGTTTCAAATTGGAGACTCTTTTGGTATGTATATTGATATTTGATGGATATTCGAAAGTTTGATATTCTAAGATACCAATTATCATTCTAAAAGTTGATCGTTTCATTGTTAGCGCTACAAAATGTACGTCATTTGTATACAATTTTTACAAATAGAAGTCCAATTGGAGTATGCAAATTTAAAACCTCTAGCCTCGAAGAAAAATATATATTAATTATTGTAGAGTTATGCTCTTATGTACGTATTCGTTCGTATTTGTCAACGTTTCTAGAATGATTAAAGTAAACCTCTATATTTTGGTTAAAGTAAAAACATTTGCTTCATGTACTTGGAATAAGTTTAAAAGCGGCAACATCGTAGTCTCTATAAAAAAAAAATATATATATATATATGTATATATATTTCTTAACTTTATACCTAGATCAAATGGACTTAACTTTTATAGATGGATAGTAATATCTTAATCGATTTGACTATATTTGGGTCGGTAAAAAAGAAAAAAAAAATTACTAGAATGAAAATTGGTTAGAGATTTGGATGTCTCAATCTACACGGATTTCTATAAAATGGATTTAAGTGATAACTCTAAGTTCTAAATTCCCTTTCTTAGGGAAAAGTGTTATCGCAATAGATTCTTAGGGAAAAGTGTTACCGCAATAGATCCTTATGGAAAAGTGTTACTAAATTTATACATTCGGCTAGTTCATATATGATTACAGGTCGAACAAAAACAAAATACTTTTTCTTGGTAAGTGTGATCCACCGGACATAAATCCATTTTTTTTTACTTTTTCAGGTGGTATCGAGATGCCATTGTGTCAGGATATCTTATCCATCTCTCCAGGAAAATATATATCTCCAGAAAATATTTTGAGTTCAATCTTTTGTTTTTTTTTCTTTTTTTTCTCCACTCGGACCAATCCGCCTACTCGGCTTCTTATACTTAAAGTTAGTCGTGTAGCTACTCCAATGATACTATTGTTCCGTACCATTATGGAAGAAGATTCAGGTAAAATATGCACTTCCTCGGGAATGAAAAAAAATGGATCCACTTTCATTTGTATTTGGTATTTTGGCTCGGTAAAAAAACAAATTCTAAATTAATATATGATCTAATGGCACAGGCGAACATATGTATTGGGAATGAAATAAATAAGTGTCACATATGGACCTATTTTTTTGCAATTCTGTATGACAATAGAACGAACATAGAACGAACATTCGATAGACGGCCAAAGATGGAAGGAAATGTTGGCGTGGAGTTTCTTTCGATATTCCCTAAACAAATTAGCTAGGTGCTCCTACCCAACAAGATGACTACACTACAACTGCAGAATCCAATCCAAGACAATTGCCTAAGAAATGAGAAGCTGGTGATGGTTTTGTTGGCTAATAGAAGCAATTCTAGTTCTAATCAGACCACTACTTCGCCTCCAACCTCTGCTCCATCTCCCACCTTCTCCTGCACCTGCAAATGATCACCTGCAGCGGAAGTCAATCCATCTCCACCGCCTACCAGGGAAGAGTCTCCGTCTCCGCCTGCAGGGACGGTTGAGATTAACCCTGCACCTCATGTATCAAGACAACCTACCGGTGTCCGCACTTGGCTACCCAGCGTTTACCGTGGACACGATAACTAGTAGACCAATGTCCTTCGTGGTCCTCTCGTACTATGGAAAGGTCCTCTCAATACTCTAATGCCAACACTGGATATGGATCGAATTGTCTCACGATGTCCTAAACCCAGCTCACATACCACTTTAATGGGCGAATAGCCCAACCCTTGGAACATACTACAGCCCCAGGTGGCGAAGAGCCGACATTGAGGTGTCAAACCTTCCCGTCGACGTCTTAGCTTTCTAAGTACAGAGAAGGTCTATAAAGATAAGTCTTCTCACTTTATGGGTCTAAAGAAGACCCCATTGGCAATTTGGAATATCGCCGTTCAGATTTATTAGAAAATGTGAACGCACATAATTGAATTTATTCAGGAATTCAAATCCTACAAAATCGTTTACCAAGCAGGAAAGTTTTCAACAGAACACTGCTTCTTTGCATGTCGAAGTGGCGTGTAGTGAAAATTCCTGGTAAAGCTATGACTATCAAAAATTCTTGCCTAGTTCAACTTTCTTCATGAGTCTCATAGTATTGTGCAGAAGTGCATCCAATATTCCAGCGACCTGTAACATAAAGGAACACCTATCAGACATAGCTGTTCATCAACAAGAGTCGAGAAACGAAACAGATAGATGTAATACTGACCGTAAAGACACCTCCAATTATGGCACAAACATTTGTGATGAAATGTGAAAAAGACTTTTGGTTTTCCGTGATCACAACCTTTTGATACAAAGAAAAAGAATGATGGATTAAGGGGAATTGAAGAGCACAGGAAAAAACAGTATGCAGTGTTTGGAACATAAATCAAAAGACGAAAATGTTTCAAAATGTACAAAACCTGCATGGGAGAGAGCGTATAATGGAACTTTGCAACAGGTATGTGAACACTCTGCGACACGCTGCTGTGAGCTGTGTATTCATACTCTTCAAGTAACTTACCAGATCTCCTTGTCAGCACCTCTGTTTTAACTATTTGAAGATAATGCTCTATCTGCGAGGGCAAATGCATAGACAAAAAGGTACATTTAGTGCAGATTTAGCAATATTCATAGCATTCCAAGAACTTGACATTGAAAATTTTCTCATATTGTGAATATTTGTGCTCAGAGTGCACTCAAAAGAAGGGCTTTTAAATGTATATACACACACATATGTATATGTATATTTATAAGAAATAGATATGTATTAGTAGGAATAAAGGGGAAACAACAGCTCAGGAGCAGGGGGGAAGAGAGAACCCTCTCTCAGCAGGATCTAATTACAAAATAAAGTTTCCAAATGTTGAAAATCAACGCAGTTGGTAATGACAAAAGAATTTTTGTTTTGCTATAAGGACACCAAGAGGCAACAAGCTGAAAATTCACACAAAAAGAAATGAAATCAGTAAACTTATCTTGAAAAACTCTTTGGTTCCTTTCAAGCTGAAAATTTATGTATAATTAGAACTGTAATAGAGTAAAGTTAATTTACATGGAGAAATTCAATTGTATAAAAAGCACACAATGTTACGGTCCATAATTATGAAATGTAATTGCTGACTTGGCAAGAAAATGCTCATGATATGCAAGTTAATATCATTGACGTAACAGACATACACATGACGAACATTAAAATCAAAACTATGGAGCAGATCATATCCAGAAACTTACAGTAACATTTGAACCCAATTCACGCTGATTAATGAATGACTGTCCATTCAACCTATCATGGCTTATACCAATGTACGGAATTAATTGTTTGGCGTCGTTAAATGCCTTGGGGGAAATCTTCCTACCAAATGAAAGGTGAGATATGACATGTGACATATTCATTTGAGATGGATCAAATGAATGAGATTCAGAACGAGCTGCAAGTACAAGGCTTCCTGGAACCTGAAAAGTGGGTAACTTCAGCAACAAACCTCCAAAGTTTAAAGAACGCAAAGGCAACCTATTTTAACCAACCATATTTAAGTAACATGAACAATAGAAATCAAGAGGACGAACTTGAAATTTTTTATTCCTATCTATTTAAATGAAGTACATGAAAAAGTTTCCCACTTTTTAAAATAAAATAAAAAAATCAGTAAGAACTTGACCTTCTTTACACGGACATATCCTTCAATCCGGCAGCCTCCTGCTGATGGAGCAGGCCTTTTAACATTTCCTGTTGCATTGTTGGATTTATCCTCTAAAGCTAACTTTTGTGATCCCATTGGAAGAGGTGCAATCAAATCTTCCATTGTCTGAGAGGAACAATGTTCAGAAATTAGATAAAATAATGTTCATTATTATTTAAGTTAATTTTTTTTTTTTTTTTTTTTTTATAAGAAACCAACTTTTACATTAGCTAATATGAAAATAATAATAAAAGTTCCTTTCTCTCTTCTTTCAATCTCTCTTCCCTCTTTTTGCAATCCCACCCACATCAACCCATGAATCATTGCTCATCACCACAGATCCAGAAACTCACCACCAACACTCAACTTTAATGGCTCCCTCCCCTTACTCAAGTTACGTATTGAAGTTCAAATCTGAAACTTATTTCAGATTAGAGGGAGGAAAACAAAAGGGGAGGATGAGACCTTTTTTTAGGTAGATGGTGTCAGGTTTAAAGGTTCTTTGATGGGTTGCAAGAAAATGAAAAGGCATTGGGTTGGTTGGAAAATTCTACATCAGAAGAAGGAAACCGCTGGGAGATTAGGGGCACTGGTGAGAGAGTAAGGGAGGAGAGGGACAAAAAGAGAAGGAAGACGGAGATTAGAAAGAAAGAAGAGAGATAACTTTAGTTCTTTAAATATATATTCATAAATTTATGCCACATCAACTAAATAGTAATAATAAAGAAAGGTCAAGTCAGCTTTTTTGTTAACTAAAGTGACGGAAAGCTGACCATAGGAACAGAAAACAAGATTATCTGAAACTTAGGGTTGAAAAACGAGATTATCTGAAACCTCAAGGGTTAAAATGTTAAGTAGAAATTATAAGCAAGTGTAAACACACGTCATCTCCATTATAGAATTAAAATCCAGCTAAAATTGAGTGTGATGTAATAGTCATTCAAAGTTGAATGTTATATAACCTTAACCAGCGATTCTGAATCTCGATCTCCATAATAAGATTCATGGTCATGGTGTCCATGATCATCCCTACAAAAAAAATATTGAATAAGTTGATCATGCGCAGCAGCTTGAAACCCAAAAAGAAGATTCATGGTCATGGAGAAGCAGAGACGCAGATCATATAAGTAAGAAAAAAAGATAAGAAAAACTCAAAATGAAGCAGTTTACTCAAACTGGGGGAAACTATAACATGTACAAAACGGTTATTTAGCTTGATATAGTAGTCTGGCTCTTTTTGGACTTGTATGTCCCTTCACTCTTTCATTTTGTCTTAATAAAAGGCTGGTTTTTCATGGTGTAAAAATATATATGTATGTGTGTGTGTGGTACAAGACTGACAATCTTTCATAATATTACCAAGAGATATTTCCAGTTTCCATGCACGCCAACTAATTGGATTTCTTAGGAATTAAACTTATTCCGAAAGATAAGAACCTTTGAATATCAAGAAAATGTGAAGAAGCATTAGGAATTAAACTTATTCCGAACCCATGTTGCACAAGCAAACCTCTTTTTTAGAAAGCAAGCAATTTCAATTCATAATTCATCAAATACCCAGCCCCTGTACACAATTTATCAGACATTTTGATTCAAATTCAAATACTGAGAGAAGCAAGTAATGATAAATGCATGACTCAACATTTTACAATTGATGATTTTTTTTAAACCAATTGATTACCGTTTGCATCACTAATCATTGCATGCTCACAGAAACTTGAAGGCCTTGCAAACATACACTTTCCCAAATTTGTGAAAGAAATAACCAATTTGTATCTCAAAAATTAGACGATTCTGCAGTTATATTCATGTACAAATCAACCAACATGGACAAAGCAAATTGAACAACCCACCACCACCACAATGGATGAAATATAATCAATGAGAACAAAATATATACATAAAATGTACAAATCAACCAACATGGACAAAATAATGGACAAAGCAAATTGAACAACCCACCACCACCACAATGGATGAAATATAATCAATGAGAACAAAATATATACATAAAATGTCGTAGGAACTAGATGGAAGTAATAATTTATCAAGGAGAACTTCATTTACCTTACATCACTTCCCTTCCGGAAAATGCGAATAGATGGATAACCTTGTATGTGATGCCTGAATTTCCCATTGTTAAGCATGGTTAGCAGTAGAGAAACTAATTCAGGCAACCAAAGAATAAGAGTTGTGCCATGGAAGATTAAAGAGAAAGGCAAAAGGGTTGGTCATAGACTCGTTGTAAAGTTAAATGTAAACTATGCATATCCTAATCATATGCCAGTAATAAGGGGAAATTATAAAAATCCAAGACAAAAAATCTTCCCAACATTCGAGAGACCTAAGAAGAATAGATAGTATAGATCAAAATAGAATCTCAACAATTATTGATACCAACTCTTTGGACAGGTAAATCAAACATTTTGACTACTTTGGATAATATACACACAGACAAGATCAACTTTATGATAAGAATAATGGTCTGCTACAAGTGCGCTTCACATACAAAAATGGTGATAAGAGCCAAGGTATATAGGTTAGAAAGGGAGGCGAAGCAGGGGGCTAGTTGGTCTTTCTGTAATAAAGACAATCAATAAAGTCTATTGGGTAAGGTCAGTATATACTGGTCACCCTGTATGGGACCAAGCGTTTGTCATCTTTAAAGACTACAGTTCTCTGTGGAGGGTTAGAACCAGGTCCCTCAGAAGTCACAGAAACCAACATAGCTTTTTTTATTATTATTATTAGACAGTGTCAAATCAATTAAACTATCACTTACTTCCGGCACAATTCACCATCTTCCGTGCAATCAACCTTTGCCATGAGAATTCGTCCATCAAATTCTGGATCATATCTGGACAAACAAGTGCTTCCTTAAAAATAGACAGCAGTGACTAAAGAAGGGTAATAAATGTTACTATGACACAATAAAAAGAATAAATAAATAAATAAACCAGAAGCAGAGCACCTTTCTCTTATAGTTTTGGCAGCCTTCTCCCACGAAGGTTTCTGGAATACAATAGAACTCGTAAGAAAATGGAAGACAGTAATGTATTTTTCCAAAGCTCGTGATAGAATTCATGTGCCAGGCCTAATTACTATATTGTTTGCTCAATGGCCATAAGCAGGACCAACAATAGCTTATGTTTATGGGCCTAAGATGTGTACAATCCGTGATAATTCTAGGCCTTCAAAGATATAGGATAGCAAGCCCAAGATTCAGCTTCCTAGCTTCATCTTAATTAAATTTAATCAAGATATCATATCCTTGACATAATGATTATCAGAGAACATGATAAGACAGCACCTCCCATGCAAAAAAAAAAAAAAAAGTATGAATTTATAAATTTCATAATAAATGATCTTTTCAAGAGTAGGGCTTAGAGAAAAAAACTAAACTTTTGAGATAATTGATGACGATACAGAGTGCTAGAGAATTTTTTACCTCTAGTATTCTGCACAGCAATGTTTTGTGATAGATAATATTTATGTAATTCATAAGTAGTCAGTTTACAGAAAAGAATTTCATACTCCATTTAGATTAAATCATCATATAGGTTCATAGTTTAGCAGGAAATAGGCAGCTTAAACAATTCGGAAGAAAGAGAATCCATATATATAATAAAAAATGAAATCCACAGAAAAACCAAGTACTCAAAAGAATTTTCACAAAAGAATATTAATATCCACCTCCAAATAACTACGGGGATTTTTGTTATACATATATATTTATATACAGAAGAGCACACAACAGAACCAAACCTACCAGCTTATTACTCCAATAGCACCAAGGAGCATAAAAATTAACCACCAAAATAGGATGCCTGCAGAAGTGTAATTTAATGAACCATAAGATACAATTGAATTGATCATAATGATAAATATGGTAAAATTAAGAACTGAAACTCAAAAAGTAAAGAATTTTAGCCCCTGATATTAATAATGCTTACTGATTAGCATATCTATCGAAGTTCCGAGAATTCAACACAGTGGAACCTTCATTGGTTTCTTCATCTGCTTCATCCCCATGCTTAATCAAATTCAGTAGTGGCCCCGATTGATACTCAGAACCAGTGGACCGCAAATTTGAATCTATAGAAAATTTACGAATTGTTTTCGTAATATTCAACCGATTCTGTAGAGGGAAATATTTAGCCTACTGTAAGCAAATGAAGTTTAGAAAGAATCAATACACACAGTCAGGTACTACGTGCGGAAATAAGTGATGATACTGTTTGAACAAATATAAACTTAGCTTGTTTTATATTAATTTTTGGCGGCATGGAGCACCTATGCCGCTCAAGTGCTGTATTACTATTGTTTAGCCATACTGACAAACACATTTTTGCGTAAGTAAACGACTGACAAAATTATAGGATAAAAACTTACAGTTCCTAACACATCGTGCACGTCTACAGCAGCAAATTCGCATGAGAGTGCAAGGAAACTACAAACAGAGAAATAAAGAACGAAGATGAGTGAGAAATTAGACAACCAACGACTTTATTTAATTTAGTTCAATTTTATTATTGGTTATGTAGAAGACAACACGTGGGTCAATATTCCTTTCCACGAAAACCACTTTCATTAAAGGAGTTCATAACATGTTATATATAGAAACATACAGTACCTGATATTGAAGTCCATCCGTAAGAAGTCACCATCATTACTGTTGTCAACAATTACAGATGTAGACGTGCTAACACTCAAATAATTACTCAATTCCTGAAATATAAAATTAAAGATCAAGAACAACAAAAACCAATGTAGATAAAAAGGATAGGATAAAATTGAACAAGCGGAAATAAGGAGCGTGGCGCAAGCACCATGTTAACAACAAGAAATAGGTGGAACAATTACCCATTTCCACGCACAACTAGTTGATCTCGAATATTGAATTAAAGAGATAGAGGCAAAGTACCATTCCAAATAAAAACATCATGGATAGAGCAGCTACTATGGATAATCCTGCTCCAGATAATGTGGCCTCTGTTAAATCTCTTGGTATTTTTCTGCACACATGGGAGATCATCTTTCAACGTGTGCAAAACCATATCTTTACAAGAAAACTAAAAAACCTATAGGAATTCAATTGAATTAGGTATTAATCCTTCTAATTGCCGCACGAATATCACATCTAGCTAATTTTATGTGTTGTCAGGAATATTCAAGGTGTCGAACTACATTTGCGATCAATTCAAGCCTCTTGATCTGGTGAAAATTAACTAATATTAAATGCATAACATCATTCAAACCAGAACCAAATCCCACCCGAATGCCACATTGCTTCCAAACAGACGGTTAGGTTAAATATCATTTCGATCTGCAAACAGCCAACTTTACGAAAATTACAACCCCAACAGAAAAAAATGGATTTAGATCATTTGACCAAACAAAAAAAAAAAAAAAAAAAGGAAAAACCGAGGCCATCAAAGCCTCAAACAAAACCACCATTCAGACACCTCATTTTCCCAATTAAATCATTAACAAACAAACAAACAAAAAAAACTCCCATAAAACAAACGAAAATCACACACGGCCGATATACAATACCGCAAATTCTAATCACAACATTCTGACAAGAGATCCTTCAGATTACCAGCAACATTACACAAAACGCGTAAATAAATAATAACTAGAAGAAAAAAAAAAAAAAAAAAAAAAAAAAAAAAAAAAAAAAAAAAAACCATGGCACTTCACAAAATGTCGCAGACCTGGGTGTTTGAGAAACAGAGACGCATTGAAATCACGAAATGCAAAGTGGAAAAGGAAGAAAGAGATCTATCAGACCTGTAGAAATCCACAGATTTGAACTTGGTGGAAGAAATCATGGCTGCAAGCAAAATCCAGTCTCCACGGACTCGCTCTCGAATGAAAGATGTAAAAAAGAGGGAGGAGAAGGTCCCAGGAATTGCGTCCTTTTGGTAATGAGAAAGTGAACCGTCTCTCTACGGCATCGCCTGGCTCGCCCCGAGTGCACAGCAATCGAAGATATGGAATTATCATATGAAGGTTAAATTTGGAAGATAAAAAAATAGCAAAATTAGCTTGGGTCCGATCGGGTCGGGTTGTGTTGGGTTGAGTCGAGTTGAGTTGAAGAAACTTCGATCGGCTTAGTAACTTGAGCAACCCGAACAAGTTGGGTTGAGTGCTAAATCTTTTTTTTAATCATTTAAAAAAAATCATATTTATTTATAATATATATAATAATTGTTATATTCCTGACTACTTAAATTTTTTATTTTTCTAAAGAATATCTCACCAAACCCAATGTGGTTGGCTCGTCTACGTTAATCGAGTTCTCGAGCCAATGAACGTCCCTATAAAAAAAAATATAAATTTAAATCTTTACACATTTTTTAAAAAATATCGAACAAATTATATCTTTAGTACTTAGATCCATTTAATTCTTAAAATTTTAAAATTTAAAATAATTTCTAATCTTTAATATTTTTAAAAATTTGTTAATAAACTATTGATTTTGTTTTTAATAAATTATTGAATTTTGTATTTTATGTGGGTAATGTCGGTAAAATCTCTTGATAAGTTAAATTGCCTACCAAACTGATCATATTTTCACGTTATTTGATATATACTTTTTTTACTGTGGTCTAAGGTTCGAGTTTTCATATCACCAAAAAAAGATCAAGTTGCTAAATTGAACTGTCGATCGGAGGTATTGAGTCAACAATGATTAGCGGGGTTGATAGGTCATAGCACACGTTCACGATCATAGATAATTTGAGAGAAAAACACGTATAACACCATCCACGGGTGGTTAACTAGTAGTTACCGAAATTAAGACTGAATAGTCACTATTGAAATTTTAGAGACTAAATAAACGTTATATCAATAATTTTTTCATATTTAACTGATAGTTAAAATGTATAATTTTCAACGAGTATTTAAATAATATTTCAGTTTCGTTAATTTTAATTATATATATATATTTTGTAAAGCTTTGATTTTTTTTCTATTATATTTGAAAAAAATATTTATTTCATGCCACCTAATCATTGTTAAACATCTTAATAAACTTAATTACATTAATTAAAAAAATAAAAATAAAAATCCAAACAAATTTAAAATCATAAAATTTTAATGGGTGGTAATTCCCACCGTCAAAATATATTGATAAGATTATGATTTTAAAAATAAACTAATAAAAATATTAATATATTTTATTTAAAAATACCTTTAAATATATCTTTACTATTAATATTCATGAATTTTAATTTTTTTATTAATTCAAAAAAATTATTATTAATATATGAACGAAAATCGTCTATCGGCACTTTATATAATAAAGGTATTTTTTTAATTAAGAGTATTTTTTTAAAAAAGTATTATTAAAAAAAAATTAGAGGTATTTTTTTAGATTTATTTATTTATTTAAAGTATTAAAGAAAATTTTAAAAGTTTATGTATATTTTTAAGATAAAATTTAAAATTCAAGAATATTTTTATTAATTAAGGACACGTCAACCAAATATTTTAGTTTTTGTATATATTTATTTATAATTAAAGAATTAAACTAAATTATCTAAATAACGCGAGCCCAATCTAATCCAAATATAAACGGATAAACTCTGTCGATAAAAAAAGAATAAATAAATTAGAGAATTTTGTAATTCAAATAATAATTTAATTGCTCATATCTCTACGCGCCAACTGAAACTTGGTTGTTTTTGACGCGCCGTTTCAATCGCTGGTGCACTGCCGTATTGCTCTTTGACACCTCCGTTGAAGAGATTATCTCCGCCGCCGCTCATCGGTATCACCGGCGCCTGGTGTCTCACGGAGAGAGAGAGACAGAGATTCAGCAACATGATCAACAGAACTGTATTCACTGCTTTGAAGAGATCGATTCTTTCATCGTCTTCGTCGCAATTACTCCCGTTTTTTTCCTCCTCCGCTTGTCGATCTGTATGTTCTTTTCTTGCTTGATTCATTTTCATTTTGTTTTTATTGATTACTCTCGGAAATTTTCAAAAACTGTTCTGGAATTGCAGGCTAGCACATTGGTTTTGGCGGAACACGATGGCGGATCTATCAATGCCGCTTCCGTTAGTGCTATAGCGGCTGCCGGTTCTTTGAGCAAAGACAGTTCGATTTCCGTCTTGTTGGCTGGCTCAGGGCCTTCGCTTCAGGAAGCTGCTGAACATGCTGCCTCTTGTCACCCATCTATTTCTCAGGTATCTTACTCCGCTAGTCTTTATCTATGATTTCTTACATGGAAGATTCGACTGCTGAACTATTTTGCTTCAGATGTTCATTTGTTTTTTAATGGATAAACTCGTAGAACTTGTGCAAATATCAGGAATTGTATAGTGGTGGTTGGTTTGTTCTATTTTGATTCAAAGATTAGAGCGATCCAGTGTTATTAGGATCATTCCCCTTGGTGGTTACCCTGATACTGATATTAGAGGTTGAATGTTACTTAGGTGCTTGTTGCTGATTCCGATACATTTACAAACCCCCTGGCAGAACCTTGGGCTCAATTAGTCCAATTGGTTCAACAGAGAAATGGATATTCTCATGTAATTGCGGCTTCAGGTTCCTTTGGGAAGAACATTCTTCCACGCGCTGCTGCTCTTTTAGATGTTTCTCCAGTTACCGATGTCGTTGCTATATCTGAATCTCGTCAATTCGTGAGGTTCGTCCAGTTTTTAGCTCATAATCATTGACTACAATGATGTTGAACTGTTTTGTGTACTTTACATATCCGGACAAATGTTTTTCTCACATATTTAGCATTTTTTTTTTTTTTTTTGTGCAATTAGAAAAATATACTTTGCAGATGTTCATCTTACTGCGGATGTTGTTTATGGTGTAGAAGTTTATCTGCTTGGGGAACTACTTATTTGTTACTCATTGTTTTTCACCATTCCATGTTTTAATGTCAACATTTCTGAATCACAATCGTGCATTTTATATGGCGATTTCAGTTTGTGATTATGATGTACCACTATTGTGAGATTCCACATCGGTTGGGGCGGAGAACGAAGCATTCTTTATAAGGGTGTGGAAACGTCTCCCTAGCATATGCGTTTTAAAAACCTTGAGGGGAAGCCCGAAAGGGAAAGTCCAAAAAGGACAAATCTGCTAGCGGTGGGCTTAGCCGTTACATAAATTCTCCATTTTTTTAGCTAACCTCATTCTTAATTGATGATGCGATTTTGAACTCGTAATAGGCCCATATATGCTGGCAATGCGCTTTGTACAGTTCGATACACCGGGGCTGACCCTTGTATGTTGACCATACGATCTACATCGTTCCCAGTGACCTCGAAATCAGCAGAGTCGACATCGAATAAGTCCCCTATAACTCAGGTCGATCTCTCATCGTTTGGTGGAGGTAAGCCTATAGCCTACTTTACCATCTCAAAGAATTCTCTTCACTCTGGAAAAAGAAAGCCATAACAAATATATCATGAGAGTGAATGCTTCTGCTTATATGATTACCCACCATAAGCGTAATTTTGATGAATTTTCCATTCTATATGGGAAGGAACACTCTCCATAGTTCTACTTTAGATCATTTTAATCTCTGTTCAAAGAATTAGGACGTGCAATTAGGTTTACTGAGCGATGTCAATCTTCAGATTCTATTGGAAAATCTAGATATGTAAAGCAAACATCTCAGGAAGCAGAACGACCCGATCTTGCGAATGCACGTGTTGTTGTCACGGGAGGACGTGGTTTAAAGAGTGCTGAGAACTTCAAAATGATAGAGAAGCTCGCAGCAAAACTTGGTGCTGCAGGTAGAGATTCAGTGTGAATTGAAATTAAAATTATTTTTCTTTCTGCATCATCAATTATTACATTTTTTTTCTCTGTTTGTGTAATATTGACTGTTAAATTTCCTAACATATCATACCATTTGGGGCACGCACGGCCTAGTAATGTCTGAAGAACAGGAAACATTAGATCTATGTATCTAAGTAATCAATTTTGTCAATAACGAAATATGAATATGTTGTTTTCTTTATTCTCCAATCTTATAAGCTAATCTGTTCTTATTCTTTTATTTATTTAGTTGGTGCCACACGTGCTGCTGTTGATGCTGGATTTGTGCCCAATGATCTTCAGGTAACGTTTCTGGATGCTTTCTTCCAAGTTGAGAGTATTATCTGTTTCTTTTTTTTGGAAAAAAAATTTCTTACAAAGAAGTATTATCCGACTTTTTTCATTGAAGTTTACCTAATCCAAATTAAAAGCAGACACGAGGAGTGTATATGGTCTGGGTTGAGTTAGGTTGAAGGTTTTTTTGGACCAACCCAAATGGTAACCCGAAAATTTTTACAACCAAACCCTCCATTTTCGGGTTGGGTTGTTAAATTTTTTTTATTTATCTACGATTCATAATTATTTGATACAATATTGGATAAAAAATATTAAAAGTTCACAAACAAACATAAATCAATTTATAATCCTTCGAAAAACTAGTTTTTCATTGAAATCGAGGAGAAAGGTGAACATTTAGAATCCTCTGCCCATCAAGAATTCGAGGAGAGAAATTAAATTTAAAAAAAAACTAAGATCAATGTTTTTATTCCATTCACTCTCTTGTCCTTCTTTTTTACTTTCTAATTTTTCTTTTATGGGGAATGTACATGATATGTTGTGCAATAACATGGGTTGGATTTATTCCTAGCCTTCTCTTAAATGCAAATTTCTTCCATGATCCTGGATTATTAAGTCTTCTGCTTCTCAGGTTGGACAAACTGGTAAAATTGTAGCACCAGAATTGTATATGGCTTTTGGTGTATCAGGAGCCATTCAACATTTGGCTGGGATCAGAGACTCTAAGGTTATTGTGGCTGTGAATAAGGATGCAGATGCACCAATATTTAAGGTCAACCGCCACCCCCCCCCCCCCCCCCCCCCCCCCCCCCCCCCCCCCCCCCCCCCCCCCCCCCCCCCCCCCCCCCCCCCCCCCCCCCCCCCCCCCCCCCCCCCC